GAAATAGGCCATTTTAAAATTAATATCGCCAATAAAAATCTCCAAAAATAAATCTACTGATAAATTTAACGAAGTAATATAAAAACTTGCGGCCAATAACAATCTCAAACAATTATTCAACTTATAATTTTAACGAATTTTTAAAAACATTCGCTAATATGGCCAATAACAATTTCAAACAATTATTCAACTGATTAAATTAACGAATTAATAAAAAGAAACATTCGCTAATATGGCCAATATTAATCTCAAACAATCAACTGGTACATTTAACGAATTTAACGAATTTTATGAAAATAAACATTCGCTAATATATGGCCAATAACAATCTCAAATAATTATTCAACATAAAATTAACGAATTAATAAAAAAAAACCTTTTTTTTAATACTCACAGTAATAATTAACCTCTGTAGTAAACGTTGTGGCTCGTGTAATATTAGCTTTGCGTAGTTTTTCACTTAGGTTGCGTTGAGGTAGATAAATGCTAGATATCTTGGACTTTAATCTTTTAGGTAGCTTTTCTCTAATAGTTTCCACGTCGAATACCATTTCTTGGCTTTTCCAGTAGAGCCAATTAAAAGTATTCCCCAATTTTTTTCGATTTCTTTACATTTTGATTGATGATGCATCGTCATCACGAAGAGTGAGTTTCCCTCGGAATTTGCACAATTGAAACCGGACTGAAGTTGACACTACACTTTTAGCCATTTCATCTTTAATTATCTTAAAAATTTAACACAAAAATTCTTTCGTGGTACTTTTAGTGAGCGAATCCCTATATTTCTGATGTAAGAAAACACGATATTTTCATCAAATTATTCTATTTCCAAATTAAACACAAAATAAGTAAATTCAACATTCCGTTGAGACAGCCGAACTATAAGTGCCTTATTTCTCTGGCCAGATTGCCCTAGGAACTTAATACATAATACTGAATTAACAAATATGAGTGTGAGGGTAGTAAAAAACACATTTTAATGCCTTCGTCCTCACTCCGTTGAGAGGCAGATACAACGCTATAGAATTTGAATTTCTTACATATATATGTACAAATTCGAGTAGCCTAATATTTCTCGAAATATATCACGCGGTTTCCGGTTGTTTGAATGTCCAATAACACAGTCCGGAATCCCGATTAATAAAGCATAGAAGGTTACCTTGTATAGCAGGTTAGGGGATGAGACTAGGTATACCTCCGGTATGAGACCAGTCGATGATTCTCCGTGGCTAGCGTCTGGATCGATCGCAAGGGGGCAAGGGGATGAGACTAGGGACGTATGAGACCTGTCAATGATTCCCCATGAGTGGTTTGGATGAAGATGTCTTCGAAGGCGACGTTTACAGAGGAATATAACGTCGGAAGGTATGTACAATATTTATAGATATGTTTGGAGAAATAAGAGGAAACATAAAAATATAAAAAAAATACATGTGGCACTCAGGGAATGCCGCGGTAAAGCTATTGCATAGCATTTTTTATTAACTTATGCAATTATAATTGAATCGGTGAGTGAAAGAACAATACATATCCAAAATGAACATTTTGAGGAAAACAAAAAAACTGTCTTAAAGGAGAACTATGGGTTATTCGGCCTAATTATGTATTGTGAAGTTATAGAATTGTTGTTAACCTATAATAATACTTACATAAATTTAAAAATAAAATTATGCAAAAAATATATTTGAAAAAAATGACTTGTAGTTATACTGTTCTTTCACCCAATTTAAAAAAAAATGCTTTAAATTTTTTTTTGTTAGGGAAACTGTAGTTGCACTTTTTGACCGTGGTGACCAATAAGAAAACAATTTTTTTCTTTTATTGAATAAATGAGAAGTTAATATTGTTTAAAATATTTGTATTATGTTACAATACATGTAGGTTATTCAGGAATTTTTATCATTGAAACTATAGGTTTATAGGAACTGAAATAAGAAACATAAGTTTGAGACTTGATATCCTCTAAATATCTGGAAAATACCGCATCAATGGTGGTCCCATATTTTGTTGTGGATTCTTGTGGATCATTATTAAATTCAGTTTTTCTGAAATTTCGATTTTTCGATTTTTCGATTTTTCGATTTTTCGATTTTTCGATTTTTCGATTTTTCGATTTTTCGATTTTTCGATTTTTCGATTTTTCGATTTTTCGATTTTTTGATTTTTCGATTTTTCGATTTTTCGATTTTTCGATTTTTCGATTTTTCGATTTTTCGATTTTTTGATTTTTCGATTTTTCGATTTTTCGATTTTTCGATTTTTCGATTTTTCGATTTTTCGATTTTTCGATTTTTCGATTTTTCGATTTTTCGATTTTTCGATTTTTCGATTTTTCGATTTTTTGATTTTTCGATTTTTCGATTTTTCGATTTTTCGATTTTTCGATTTTTCGATTTTTCGATTTTTCGATTTTTCGATTTTTCGATTTTTCGATTTTTCGATTTTTCGATTTTTCGATTTTTCGATTTTTCGATTTTTCGATTTTTCGATTTTTCGATTTTTCGATTTTTCGATTTTTCGATTTTTCGATTTTTCGATTTTTCGATTTTTCGATTTTTCGATTTTTCGATTTTTCGATTTTTCGATTTTTCGATTTTTCGATTTTTCGATTTTTCGATTTTTCGATTTTTCGATTTTTCGATTTTTCGATTTTTCGATTTTTCGATTTTTCGATTTTTCGATTTTTCGATTTTTCGATTTTTCGATTTTTCGATTTTTCGATTTTTCGATTTTTCGATTTTTCGATTTTTCGATTTTTCGATTTTTCGATTTTTCGATTTTTCGATTTTTCGATTTTTCGATTTTTCGATTTTTCGATTTTTCGATTTTTCGATTTTTCGATTTTTCGATTTTTCGATTTTTCGATTTTTCGATTTTTCGATTTTTCGATTTTTCGATTTTTCGATTTTTCGATTTTTCGATTTTTCGATTTTTCGATTTTTCGATTTTTCGATTTTTCGATTTTTCGATTTTTCGATTTTTCGATTTTTCGATTTTTCGATTTTTCGATTTTTCGATTTTTCGATTTTTCGATTTTTCGATTTTTCGATTTTTCGATTTTTCGATTTTTCGATTTTTCGATTTTTCGATTTTTCGATTTTTCGATTTTTCGATTTTTCGATTTTTCGATTTTTCGATTTTTCGATTTTTCGATTTTTCGATTTTTCGATTTTTATTATATTATTAATAATAAGTTTTTATTTAAAATACCTGTGACAGGCCTCTAAGATTAATATTTTTTTTTGTGTCATCGGCATCAACTACTACGGTTATTAGCCTCGTGTTGTGTGTAGGCTTTGTTACTGTTTCCCAGCGCCACTTTAGGAACAGCACTGTTAATTAGTACCCAACAGTGAATGGTCGAGTGGGGAATCTTACCAAGGCCTGAGAATTAATTTTAAATAATTAAATTAAATGAAAAAACCCCGGCCAACGGTGGGATTCGAACCTGGGACCCTCGGATCCGCAGGCAGAAACTCTACCACTAAGCCACTCACCCCGTTCTAAGATTAATATTAATTAATTATTAATTTGCTCAGGGCCTCCTGATCAAAAGTTTCTGGAAGTTTCTCAACACGTGAGACTAAATCCAACCCTTGGTTGTCGAATTTCTATTCAATTCGAAATCTCTCGAACAGTAAAACGAAAGCTCTCATAAGAAGAACAAAATGGCATATTCCCTTATGCCTAATCTAGTTGGTAAACAAAGACAAAACATTTTAATTAAGAGTCTAGTTCTAGTACATTTCTTAGAACTGGTAGATGAATGAATGATTACTTAATTCATATTACTAATCATTCATTCTTATTGTCATTCATTAAAATCGACTTTTGTGACTTATGACATTAGTAGTATAGTCGAAGTAGGGTTTAGGGTGAAAAAAAAAGGGTGGAACTAATTCCCACAAAGACGAGGTTTGAATTTTTGAGCTCATTACTCATATATTTTCAATATACTAAAAGTCTAGAAAATTGTGAGTGTGCGAAATGCGTTTTTTTGCTGCCATCTTGAATTTTTTTCAAAATTCATGAAAAATCGTGTGTGGTATCAAATAACGGGAAATTTTATGCCGAAAAAGAACAGAATATAAATTAAAAACAAAATAGTATGGAAAAACTAAGTCTATAAGGCATGTAAAAATATGTAAATTCCTTTTCCCAAGTTGTGACAAATCCTAAGAAACTTAACATGGCAGATATAAACTGTATCTTGTGCTCTGAAAAAAAGAGGCGAAACTTTAAAGTTCGTTAAGTTATCTGCCAAAGGTATACAGTATACAAGGAATTATAAGTGCAATTAAAATTCGAAAAGACAATATCCATGAGTTATTTGAACCATTTCCTGATGACCCCGTGAGAGTCCATGTTGAATGCCGCCATGTATATACAAATCCTAATAATATCTAGAATGATGCAAAATTAAAGCTATCCACTCAGGATGAAGCACAAGGTAGTTGCAGGCGAGTACTCCGGTCGAATATACCAACATTTTTATTCACAGAAGTGTTTATTTTGTGGTCGCTTTGTTACTGATCCTGAGAAACGGGATAAATCTGGGGTTATATAGGTCCGTACAGTAATGTTTCAAAAATCAGTTATGAAGGCGTGTAACTCCAGAAATGATTTATGGTCAGCAAAGGTTCAATCCCGTTTGCTATTAGTTAATGACTTGCCAGCAGCAGATGCCATTTACCACCATGCAACGTAAATTTTCGAAAAGGTGACCGGATCCCAAAAAAGTACCAAAATAATTCCAAAGACGAATTACGTTACAAACCTCTTGGTCGTCCCATGGAGAAAGACAAGCTAGATGCTTTTTTGGAAGTATGTAAGAAAATGATGAGCTGGTTTGTGCCCAGGAGCTGGTTACTAAAATAAAAGACTTTCTACCAGTTGGTAGTGAACCATATAGTGAACGCCACATGCTGCAAAAGCTTAAAGAACATTTTTTTGGGAATATCATCGTTTTCTCAAAGTATGAATTGCCTAATATGATAACTATGGGTAAAACAGTGGCTGATATTATTTTGGATTACCAGAAGAAGAAAAAATTAGAAGACCCTGAATCAGAGAAATATCATCTGATTGAAGCAGCAGCAAAACTGATCAAAACGGAAATCAAACTATTATCAACTACAACGGAGCACTATCCCTTGTCATCAGAGAATGCATCTGAACAGGAAAATAAAAAGTTGTTGCCATCAGTTTTGCAACATTTCTTGGATATTATCATTGGTACCAAGGCAAGTGATTTGAAGAAGATTTCTATTGGACAGGCTTTGGTGCAAGATTCAAGACCAAGATCACTCATAAGTCCAATCCTCTTTGGTGTTGGTGTCCAGCTTCATTGCGATTTTGGTTCTCGGTTACTTGTGGACGAGCTTTACAGACTTGGGTTTTCCATATCATATGATGAAGTACTAAAGTATTTACAATCTGCAATAATAGACAAGACACCAAATTTTCAAGTTCCAACAGGTCATTTCTGTCAGTGGATAGCTGATAATGTGGACCACAACATTGCCACCATCGATGGTCAAAACACTTTCCATGGAATGGGAATTATCATGTGCAAATCCGGACCACCTGATACAAAGTCTAATTCGTTGTCAGAGAGAAAGATCCCTCGTTGCAAAATCAGGCTTAATGCTGCTAATGTCTCTGCAGAAGCAAAAATAGAAATTAGAATATTTCAGTCTCTTAAATCCAACATGAACAAAATTATGTTTGAAGAACTGATTTTAAATGACATGAAACAGAATCTATTAGATCTTTTGTGGATACATGCAAAATGTCGTGTGGTAGTGGTAGATGTACTTGTTGGCGGTATGGTGTGGAATGTACTGAGATATGCTGCAACTGTTTTGGTCACGATTGTAAAAAATGGGGCCTCGAAAGAACGTGTTGAAAATAATGAAGAAGACTTAATTTTTGCATTTTTATTATTTTGATTATTAAAAATAACATTTTCTAGATAAGCTTCCTATTTTTCGCCACCACTTTATTATTTTTTATCTTTTTTGCTCATTATCATAATCTTTTTCAGCATAAAATTTCCCATTATTTGATACCACACACGATTTTTCATGAATAAAAAAAAGGCGGCCAAAAAACGCATTTCGCACACTCACATTTTTCTAGACTTTTAGTATGTTGAAAGGATATGAGTAATGAGCTCAAAAAATCAAACCCAGTCTTTGTGGGAATTAGTTTCACCTTAGGCCAATTTTTTGTGTAAATCTACTATAGGTACTACATGTAGATATTATGAAAATGTAAACAAAACTAATTCAATAATTTGGTTACCGTTCGAAATGATTTTAAGTTGTTTTGAAATGTAACAAATAGTAAAAATTGTTTATTATTAAGATACTTATATCCTCTTTCCTTCTAGATAAATTCTACATGGATTCCCAATTTGAAATCTACATGGATTCTCAAGTTTGAAATAATGGAAATTTTAATGGAAGTGAACAAATGTTAGAATATGAAATAATTCACTAGATTTATTGTAAGTAGCATTTATTTTAGGCTTTAGAAATACAGTTTATGTTAAATGAGTCCTAAATATATCCTATTAATCCTAAAAATCCTATCATTTCTTTTATCCTGTAACAGAAGCCCTTTGATATCGAAAAAAATCTGATTAAAAATGGGGGTTTAAGGCTGGAAAATTAAAAAAAAAATCATAAATCAAAAATGAAAAGCGAAATCAACATGAAATTTTTAGTAAAAATCAAGCTCTATAAGGAGATGAGGCTTATTGATTGTGAAAAAAATTTAAATAAAAGTCAAAGGGATTAAGGGAGGTGGAAAAATGAATAATACTCGTAACTTCAAATTTTTGGAAAAAATGAAGCTCAATAAGGGGATGAAGCCTATTGATTCCAAAAAAATCTGATTGAAAATAGGAGTTAAGGGGGGGGTTTGTTAAACTGTGAAGAGTATAACTTACAATACCAAGCATTATATATCTTCATTCTAGTTTGTATCTGTGTAATGGTATGTATTGTAATGGGTCTGATCCTATAAAATATACATTTTAGTTGACTTTTGCTAAAAAGAGGCATCTAAAAAATATATTATTTTATTTGACTTGCGTGATAAATTGTAAAAATTATTAAATTTACAATAAAAACCGAAAAGCGGTAGGTAAAGTTTCATATAATATTTTTACACAAAAATGTCAAGTTCTGTACATAATGTAATGCGAGCCATTTCGTTATTGTGTCATGCTCTAATCCTACAAGTCCCTCTCTGTCTTATTTGACATTTGAGACTTAACTTGTCCGATTATCATACATAATTAAACACCTTAAGACCAAACATATGTCAAAATATAAAGTCAATAAAACAAAGAAACCTTTTATACAGTATTCATAAAAAGAATTTTGATGATGTTGAAAAAAAATGCAATATTTAAATTATAGAACACTTACAGATAAATTAATTAAACAAGTTAAAAAAGATTTTTACACCAAACAAATAAATGAAAATAAAACTAGTTCGAAAAGGTTATGGGACACTTTAAAACAAATACAAGGAGATAGTAGAAGTAATAGAGAAATACGTGAAATAACTACAGATGAAGGGAAAAATATTACAGACGCAAAAGATATAGCAGAAAGATTTAATAAATTTTTTTCAGAAATAGGCACATCACTTGCAAATAAAATAGATGACCCAAACTCACCACCTCCGGTCAGAAATATTCACAAAAACTCTTTTGCGCTACTACCAGTAACTGAAAAAGAAATAAATAATATCATTAATTCACTTTTGAACAAAAAATCGCCTGGAATAGATAATATTTCAGAATTAGTAAAAGAAAATTCTGATACATTAGCACCACTTTTGATGAATCTAATTAATAAAATGTTGTGAGTTCCCAGCCGAATTAAAAAAATCTTTAGTAGTACCAGTCTTTAAAAAAGGAAAAAAGAGTATGTTTACAAACTACAGACCTATTAGTTTAATAACAACTTTTACAAAAATAGCAGAAAAAGCCTTAAATTTACGTTTAAAAGATTACCTCAATAAATATAAAATCATCTCAAACAAACAATTCGGGTTTCGAGACAGGCTCTCAACAACAGATGCGATCTGTGAGTTGTTAAAAAAAATGTATAGTTCTGTTGACTGCAAAAAACCATGTCTAGCAGTTTTCCTGGATTTCGCCAAGGCCTTCGACACTGTAGATCATGGACAGTTGTTAGAGACATTGGAAGATATAGGGATACGTGGGAAAACTTTTGACCTTTTTAATAGTTATCTGAACAATAGATTTCAAAGAGTTAAAATCAATAATGAAATCAGTGACGAGAGGCCAATAGAAAGCGGTGTTCCTCAAGGAACTATATTAGGTCCCACATTATTTACATTATATGTAAACAATTTATATAATTTACAGACCACAGGAGAAATAGTAAGTTTTGCAGACGACACTGCGATTTTTTATGAAGCAGAAACTTGGGACGATTTAAAACGGAAAACTAAAAGAGATTTAAAGAAAATAATAGACTGGTGTTCCCATAAAAAATTACCCATAAATTACAACAAATCTTTTGTTTTACCATTTGTCAGCTACTCTAATAATCTACCTCAATTTAGTAACATTAGCTTAACTTATAATCAAAAGAAAATAACATTGGAAAAAAAAATGAAATAAAATATTTAGGAGTTACCCTAGATTGTCATTTACGTTGGGACGCACATATAAATAACTTAACAAATACCTTAAGACTTCTTTTATTTAAATTTAAATACCTCAAAAATATTTTACAAGTTACTCACCTAAGAACTATTTATTATGCTTTAGTCCAAAGTCGTGTACAATACACAATCGTCTGTTGGGGTGCTACAACCAAAAATCACATATCCAAACTTGAAATATTACAAAAGAGAATTCTAAAAATAATACACAACAAAAAAGTTAGATACTCAACAGATGCATTGTTCGAGGAAGTAAAAATAATGGATATACGACAATTATACATATACTCAGTTATAATACTAATCTACAAAAATAAACAATTATTAAACAAAATTACCCATAACTATGATACAAGAAGCAAGGATAAAGGAAAAGTTGGTACCCATCTTGTAAATAAAACAATAACACAACGTTTTTATATTTATTTAAGTGCAAAAATTTTTAATTATCTTCCGGATATGTACAAGGCATATTTACAAATCATAAATTCCGTTGAACTCTTTAAATCTCTCATCAAAAAATTTCTTATTAATTCGGATAGAAAAACGCAAAGAGAAATAATTGATTAAATATACAAGTATTCGAACTTATATATTATAATTTAGTTGTAATTGTATACTTTTTACGTGATATTTTTATTTTGTATATCTTTATTATTTATATTTCATATGTATTTTGTATTTTAAATGATGAGTTTTTTAGCTAATTTTATATTGTTATTATTCAGTTTATAATTTAATATGTATTATTTAATTAATTTAATTAGATTTTATGAACTTATACAAACAAGTCAAGCTATAATAATGTATTTAAAAAAATAAAAAAAAAATGATTTCTTTTCCATCATTTTTAGATTTATCTATTTTGTCCTCAAAATATGTCTTCTTCTCTTGTCTGACTATGGTCGTTACTTTATTTCTTTTAGTTTTATATAATTTCCAATCTTCTTCAATTTTTGTTATGGTAAATTTCCTATATGCTTCATCACGAACTTTTTGTGCTTGTTTTATTTTATTATTTACCCATGGTTTACTGTTACTCACCATTATTTCTAATGGGGCATTTTTTTCTATAGACTTTGTGGTATTATTGATAAAGTTCCTGTATAAAACATCGGTATCTGTTGAGGTCGTATCCCATGATGCTTCTATTAGATCCTCTGTAATTTTCTTGATTTTTTCCTTATTTATTTTACGTACACAAGTCATTTCCTTTTTCCGATCTATACACCATCCCTTTAATTCTACACCTATCATTTCATGATCTGACATTACTGGAAATTCTCGTGGAAGTTCAATTAGCGAGAAATTATTTGTTATTATCCAATCAATCAAGGAAGACGAAGTTTTTGATATTCTTGTTGGTTTTTTGACAATTTGTTTAAATCCCGAATCCTGTATAGTATTTTTGAACTTGTTGACTATACCCACATCAGATCTAAACTCCATGTTGAAGTCTCCAAATATAATCGTATCATTAGTATTTACAAGATCTCTCTGTAGTAAGTCATCAAAAAACAGCCAAAAATCATTACAATTGCCATGTGGGGATCGATAAACAGTTCCAATTATAGCTGACTTATTACTTTGTTGTATTTTAAGTAATAGTACCCAATAGTTTAAAGAGACCGACACTTTTTGTATAACTGAATAGTTTACGTTTTCCCTTAAATAAATTATACAACCTCCAGTATGTCTGCTATCTGAATTCACTCCTATACAGTGGTACCCTGCAATTTGAATCTCGCTGTCCTCTATATCTGCAGTAATATGTGTTTCTGTTACGTTTACTAATAAAGGTTTATTTTCAGTTAGATATTCCCGAAGTTCATCAATATGTGACGTTAATCCCTCAATGTTAATACATATTGCTTTGTATTTAGTATCTTCTTTTAGTTTCTGGGATGGCTATATATATTTTATTTTGGACTTGGTTTGTTCAACTACTCTCTTGTACGATACACATTCTTTATTGAACACAGAGTGATTGAAAACTATTCCAGGAATTTTTAGAATATCGTGTGCATACACACAATTTGTACATATTTTTACTAGTTCATTACATTCGAAGCTTTTATGTTCACCATTACACTCAGGACACACAATTCTGGTAGAAGTACATGAAGTAAAAATGCCCTAATTTTAAAAAGTGTGGCTTATCCCGTTTTTACAATAGGTCCTTCAATTGACCCTCAAAGCATGCATGGGTCTGATTCTTCAATTACTTTAGAAATACTTC